TTATAGTGGTTTTGCAGAGCTCAACTTGGTTTAAACCCTCTATGAAATATTTTGTATTTTTGTACCCTGGCATAATATAACAAATCACTGTATGTGTTTGGTGAGCACCTGACTTAGTGATAGTTTTCTTTTSTAAAGCTTGAGAAATCTTCTCATCTGTGAACTTTCTTAATTAGATTTTTTTCAGTTTAATCTCAATTCCATCAACTCCTTTTACCTTTTATTAGGAATCCAAGTTATGTGTCACCCCCCCCCCCGCTTTTTTCTAGCAGTCCTACCATGACCTGATGCTTATTTATTGAGATTTTTGTTATTGTTAATGGGATGTAATACCATAGAAGCACAGAGCTGTTAGCATTGAGCACTTTAAGACTGATTGCTCACTCTGTTTTAATTCTTAGTGATATCAGACTTCTATTAGTTAAACCAGGGCCTGCAAAAAAGTAATCGAGTGTTGTGGGTTTTTTTAAAGGGATTTCTTTGCTGTTTAAAGAATCATTTAGGTTTTATAAATAAAATGTATAGGCATTTAATAACTTCAGCTTTTGTATATTTTTATGCATTCTATATTTTATTCTATTTTAATTTGTGGTTCTTACGACATAAAATAATCTACATATCTTTAAGATACCTTTTCTGCCCAATCTGCTTTACATGAGTCTGGATCTGACTAATGTGTCTGGATCTGATCAGAAATATGTTGAAAATCAAAAAGCAAATACTATTCTCCAGTTGGATGAAAAGCAGCAGATATTTCACATCTGCATGTATTAGATTTGCATTAGACCTAATCTGTTCAAGGTGCATTTGCTTCGTGTCTCACAAGAATTTGCTCTCTTTGAATAGATACTTCTTTAGCAGGGAACAGAAGAGCAAGGTGCTCTGTAGGTGTTTCCAGTCCTAGTCCTGGAGGAGAAGTGTCCTGGATGAGAAGTTCTGAGGTTGCCCTCTGATCACAACAGGGCCCRGACCCTACGATAGCGAGGCAGGACGTGTTTCAGATCTGATCCCACGTTATCACAGGATGATCTTGGAGCTGGGTGGCTTGTGTTAAGCTGGAGTAATAGAGCTCCAGAGTGTAGATGTTGGACCAAATAGATGTTAGAGGGAAGCTATTATCAGCCTGAATCAAGAAACAGCTTTCCTTATAACAACTCCAAGTTAGCGCTCAGTTAAGTTACCAGGAGGAGGAAATGGCTAAAATGAAGAGCATTGACTTGCAGCAGGAAAAGTCAGAATATGTCTTCTAAGTACCAGTGGCATGAAGGGAATGTTTAAGGGTTTTAGTGGGGATATAACTCCATCTGTCCATCATTCTTGGTGTTTTTTTTCTTGCTTTCCTACATGCACGTGTAAACGCACCTTTATTTTGCCCAGGTGTGTGTCAGGCTCTGGGCTGGCCGCTCCATTGAGCTGGAGCGCACCTCRCTGCTCCGAGGTTCCTGACAGGAAGCCAGATTTTATCCTGCTATTCTTCTTGCAAAATCAGTATGGTTACACCTMGCTGTCCTAGAGCATTTATTTCTTAAAAGTTTTGAAGTTGAGTCATCCACAGGATAGGTTACAGGGCGAGAGACCAGATGTTTGTCACCCCTGTCATTTTCTGATTTGGACCTTTGTCCTACACCATTTATATTGAATATTATCCCTTTGCTTTCCAGCCTCCTCTGTTTCATGGCCAGCAACAGCATTTGCTTATAGCAGCATGCTTGAAAAGAGTTGCAGAAGGAAGTGAACTGTGTCAGCGGTGTTARATTTCCCCAGCAAATAATATAGGGGAGATTCCTGAAGGAAGAGATAGACCAAGCTCCATGTGAATTGTGCCATCATTTGTGCTTTTGGAAGCCTTCTGGTGGGAAGGGGCCTTTGTGCCGTGGCTGATGGTGTTTTGCGGCCGTCTGTGGCTYGACGAGAATTCAAAGAACTCGGGCAATTTTCTCTTGCGGTAGGTGCAGGCAGGGCAGGAAGCCAAAACCTGTGACTTTTCCACAGGCTCAAAGTGCTTCTGAGGAAMTGATGGGGATAGTTACGAGCTTGCGTTTTTAGGAGTCATTCTGCTAATTGGGTTTTCTTTGTTTTTCTTGCTTTGCTGTTCCACCCTCATCACTCGTTTCTTGCTGGTTTCTTCTGTATCCCTGGCAAAACCCGTGGCAGTCTGAGCGAGCACTTGAAAGAAATGCTGTCTCTGCAAGTCAGGTTATTCACATGCAGTATCACAACAGCAGCTCTCGGCTCACAGAGYCACAGGATGGCTGAGGTTGGAAGGGACCTCTAGAGAYCAYCYAGTCCAACCCCCTGCTCCAGCAGGGACACCCAGAGCACGGGCCACAGGGCGGCATCCAGGCGGGTTTGGAGACCTCCAGAGAAGGAGACTCCACAGCCTCCCTGGGCAGCCTGTKCCAGGGCTCTGKCACCCTCACAGGGAAGAAGTTCCTCCTCACATGCAGATGGAACTGCCTGGGTTTCAACTTRTACCCATTGCCCCTTGTCCTGTCACTGGCCACCTCTGAGAAGAGCTTGACCCTTCGTCCCTACATTCCCCCTTCATGCACCGAGACATACTGATCAGATATCCTCTCAGCCTTCTCTTCTCCAGGCTAAACAGGTCCAAGTCCCTTAGCTCTGGGTTCCTTCCAAGCCTTCTGGCTTCGCGGGCCGTCGTCTCCTCCAGGTTGCCCAGGCTCTGTGCTGTGCTGCTCTCCCACAGGAGACATTTCTCCCTCTCTGTCAGCTTGCAGATGCCGGTTGGGTTGGTCAGTATGGGAGCYGGCCAGGGCTCTGTATGGCGCTCGAGAGGCTTTTATGGCTTTGTGCAACTCTCATCTCTTACAGGATTTGTCTTCAGTTTTCCTGTAATCAATCATCTCCTACATCTTTTCGCTTCAGTGAGGTCATCTGTTAACGTCACTAATCCAAAACTGCCATAAAAGGAAGAGCATGGCRTTGAAGGCTGGCTTTTTAAACCTCGCAGGAGTAGCTGTTGGTTGCTCTGAAGTAACTGGCAGCTTCTGTAGTCTCAAAGCGCAGCCCGAGCGCCGCTGCCAGCGTCACCAGGGCGCCCTGCTGCTCCGGGAGAGCCCCGGCCCTCGCCTCGCAGCCAGGGCCAGTCCTGCTTGTTTAGGAAGCGCAGCGGGTTCTGGAGCGGCCTCCCTACGCTTGATCTTGTCCATCTGTTGAAGCTGGCAGGAGCACTGCCGGCGCGTTCCTCCCCTCCCGAGCAGGCCTGGGCCGCGTCCCGGTGTTTGCTCCCTCCATTAAAGGAGAAAGCCTCGTCCGAGGTGAATGCTTTACCGCTGTCCGTCTCCTCGCGCGTAGTTACAGGGCCGCGCTCGGGGTTGTCCCCGCAGCTCCAGACCTTGGAGCCCGCTGCCTCCTCGGCCGCAGGGACAGGGGTTGTGCCTGCTGATGGATGTTCCCAGTGTGGAGCGACGCCGAGCGCCTCCGGAGAGCGGCGCTCCCTTGCGCCCCGCTGCCGGGTGGCCTCCGCGCTCCGCCTTTCCTTCCCCGGGAATGAGGGAATGTTGTAACCGCTGCGTGAGAAACGGCAGCTGTGAAGTGCTAAAAGAGCCCCGGGAGCGCATGGAGGTGAAGCACCCGAGATGGCTTTGGATTAGGATTAAGCTGAAAAAGTTCCTTTTTGTTTTAATTAAACCCGGGAGCTGCGTGAGCCCCCGGACAACCCCGCGCTCCGTGTGCACGTGGCCATCCTGCCCCGGGGGTCCCCCTGGAGCAGCGTTCCCGCTCCTGACGCCCGACACGGCAGCAGGTTGGGAGCTGCAGCCTCTAACGCTGGGAATCGCCCTTTTGTACCGTCGGAGGGTCCCGCGCGTTCTTCTCATACTCGTTTTCCACTCTTTTTAATGCTCAGGTTTTACTGTTCTTGTACTCGAGTAAAATCAGGAAGACCCAGCAGGTGCCTTCCTGGGAAGCAGGCTTGGAAACGCTGAGAAAAAAAGCGGTGCCAGCAGTGGCTGCATCCAGATATGCAGCACTGATGTCTCCTGAGAAACCCCTGTCCTTCGCTCTCAAGAGCAGTTTGCTAAGGGTTGGGCGAGTATTTCTGGAAAAAATAAACTGCCAAGAAGTGGGAATGCTCGGYATGTTTGTGGGAAGCTAGTGTTTTTCCTTTGGAGATATGCTACTTCTGTGAGATCATAACAGGGAAAGTACCTTTCTTTCTCCTTTGAGAAGCAATCAGTTAAGGACAGGAGATGGATCATCAGAGACTTGTATGAAGTGGTTGTTTGACTCTTGCTATGCAATAAGAATCTCTTTTTTGGGCCATTTTAATCAGAGTCATGAAAAATTGAGATGCATCACCTTAACTCAAGAGTCTGCTTGGCTTGCACTATGGAAATCCGAGAGCAATGCAGCGTTGGCTGTTACTTATTCACTCTGCAGCTCTCTTTTTCTGAAATATTCAGATGCTTTGCATATTTATGTGCAGCTGCTTATTTCTCAGTGAACCCTTCATATCTGGGAGCATCTTAGGCTATTTAATCACAGTGATTTCTGCTGGTAGTCTAAATGGATTTAAAAAATGCAYGGATATCTCTCGTTTCTGGTAACAGAACTTATATTGGTTCTGTGAATGACCTTATCACACACGTGGAAAATAGGTAGAGAAGTTTACAATGCTGTAAGCCTGTTACACCGTGCGTTGTAGAAGAACTTGCRTGTCTACTTAGTTGTCATATTGGATGATGGTAATTTCTGTACGTGCACACACACCTCGGAGGGGCAGGAGAATGAAGATGCAGTTCTCAGCACTGCTTGACACGTGCTGGTCCTTGCCTCTAGGGATTCTTCAGGCTTGGTAAAGTGAGAAGGAGCTAATAGGGGAGAGAAGAAGAAAAGTATTCCCTCACATGGTGAGGAGAAGGTGGTAGTTGATGTGAATAGCAAGTCTTCAGAGTGCCCTGCTTTTCACAGGCAAGATTGCAAAATTTTCATGAATGTGACTTCTAATCCACCTTTTCCTTTTCTTTTCTCCTATCTAGGGACCTTCTGTGAAGAACTTGCTGAAAGCAGCTGTGTGAGAATTTTTCTGCAGGAAGACTCTCCAACTGGATTACTTACCAGCATGGCTTAAGCACACGTATCCTCTAGTGTTCTGATCCTTAACCATGATTGGGGTTGTGTGCGGAATTTAGCCTGTTTCTGATGAGTGATCTAGACATGAGTTTACATCGGCAGATGGGCTCTGATCGGGACCTGCAGTCTTCGGCTTCCTCCGTGAGTTTGCCTTCCGTGAAAAAGGCCCCAAAGAAAAGAAGAATTTCCTTGGGCTCTCTCTTCCGGAGGAAAAAAGACACGAAACGCAAGTCAAGGGATCTAAACGGAGGTGTCGATGGCATTGCAAGCATTGAAAGCATTCATTCAGAAATGTGCACGGACAAGAACTCCATTTTCTCCACGTGTACCTCTTCGGATAATGGGACAACGTCCAGCGGCAAAGCGAGCGGAGACTTCCTGGAGTGCCCCCTGTGCCTCCTGCGGCACTCCAAGGACAGGTTCCCCGAGATCATGACCTGTCACCACAGGTCCTGCGTGGATTGCCTGCGCCAGTATCTCCGGATAGAGATCTCCGAGAGCAGAGTTAACATCAGCTGTCCCGAGTGCTCGGAACGCTTTAATCCCCACGATATTCGGTTGATATTAAACGATGACGTCTTGATGGAAAAATACGAGGAGTTCATGCTTAGGCGGTGGCTGGTTGCGGATCCTGACTGCAGGTGGTGTCCAGCTCCAGACTGTGGGTACGTGGCAGGTTTCTTATCTTTTCCTTGTTTTTTTTCCTTCATTTTAGCAAGCCATATAGAATTTCTTGACCTAATATTATTGTTGCTGAATCACTTTTACCTGTACATCTGCTTTATCTAGGTATCTGATCCATTTCTAGTGTAATTGATACAACTGCAACGTAACAGGCACTTTATAATTGGATGCTTACATAGATGATATAGACTGGATCACTACCTAGACTGAAGGAACATACTTAGTTTCATTTATTGCTTTATCAGAAGCATTWTTCTTTTTGAAGAGTTAATTGCTTTGCTTTAAAATTTTGCGGTATGTTCTACCAGTAGCTTAAAAAAGGGAGACTCAAATAAAGAACAAAATCCTTCCTCAAATAGGCTTCTYTTTTTTTGATTCCTCTGTAGCGAATTTTGGAGATTTTTCTGAAACTTGGCAGGTGGTTGCTATGTGTCTGCTAGGAGAAAATCAGATATTGCACTACCAAGGCAACACAGACAAAAAATATGGAAGTCAGATCAAATGCTAGTGCTACTATATTTTTAATTTAGACTGTTTATGAAAGCATMATTTTTAAGTGTGAAATATGTTTGAAGATTTGTTTGAATGGAAAGTGTTTTCCGGCTTCTGATATCTTCTGTATTGCAGTTGTTTGAGGCACTTGATGCCTGTAAGCAGGGTTGTGATGTGACGCTGTAATCAGCTGGTTTCTGCTCATTACCAGAGCAACATTTTGGCATTATTTTAGTATTTAAACAGTTCTACAACCAATTTGAATTCTCACTAAAGTAGGCTTGAGTACTATGCTTTCAAATTTAAATTTAGTATTTAAAAATAATATTTTTAAGTGTTGTTTTTGCTCATGCGGGTCAAAAGCAGGCACTGGAGAAGCGCTGTCCGCTTAGGGCTTCCAGGAGAAGCGTATCCCAAGTGGAGAACTTGAGGGAGAGTCCAGAGCTGAGTGTCGGAAGGTCCGTGACCTGGGTGGCCTTGGGCTGTGGCAGGGCTTGAGCAGAGGAGGACGACTGATGGCTTGAGGGAAGAATAGCTTGAGGGAAGAAGAGTTTGCGTGAATTTTGGAGTTACTTACGGACTCACAGAAGCGTCATGGTTGGAAAAGACCTTCGAGATCATCAAGCCCCTCAACATCACTTCGGCTAAACCATGTYCCTAAGAGCCTCATCTCTGTTTCTTGAACACTGACAGAGATGTGGAATCCACCACTTCCCAGGCAGCCTCTTCCAGTGCTTCGCCACTCGTTCCATGTAGAATTTTTTCCTAATATCTAACCTGAATCTCCCCTAGCTCAACTGTGTCAGTGTTTGTGCATGTGCAAAGCAAACAAGCCTATGTGATGTGGGCAGCCCTGGCCACATACCTTTGCTGCACACTTTGTCGTAACGTTTCTGTGTGATAGGGAGGTGCTTTACACAGGTGAATTGTACAGAGGTGAGACTTAGGGAATCTTAGGAATTAGCCAATACTAGTTGGCTTTTCACCAAGCAGCTCTCCTTAACAAGCATCGTTTAAAGACAACGTGCAAGGACTCCACATCAGCAGACACTGAGTGACCAGGTGGTGCAACAGGAGTCACGCTTCTCTATCAGCTTTGGCAACTGTAATTCACTTGTACAGTATCTGATTAAATTGAAAGGTTACTTGCTTCTGATGGGTTTTCATGTACAGTGCTGGCAGGAGGCACTGGGGCTCTGACAGCAGCTGACCTGCTTCTAGAGTCAAGATTCCCATGAAGGACCTAGATGCAGCGCCCTTAACTTGCAGTTAATCCCAGGAGCTGTGAGGACGTCTAGAGGGGCAGGATTGTCTTGGAAGGTGGCAGGGAGAGCTAAATCAGTGAAGAATAATAGTTTCCTCCATCCAGGCCTCTTGTGTTATTTCTTAGGAAATCATGAATAATGCTTAAGCAGCATATATCTTTCATCTCTGTGTGTATGTGTGTGTATATATATATAAAGTATATACACTTTTATGTGTATGTATATATTTATATACATATGCTTTTAAAGTCACTGCAATTTCGGGAGGAGAGAATGGCAGAGAAGCTGCTGCCGTTTTGCAGCAGTCCTGCCCTGGCCCACGTAGCTGTGGGGTCTCCAGAGCTGACCCCAGAAGGGGACCCTGTCATGGGTCCTTCCGTCCCCAGCTTCCCATTCCCAGCTTTTCTTGCAAACTAAACCCCATCCAAACAGTAACAGATCACTGACATACCGTACAGGTCATACAGCCCGAGCTCCATCTGCAAGGCATTAGCTCTGGCTTTGCAGGGCACTTGCAAATCGTTGAGCCTTCCTCAGGGAGGGGACACAGATGGGAAAACCACTCGGGCTCTCTTCCAGATGAATTTTGGGGGTGTTCTGTTTCACCACGTAGGTTTTCAGATGTCACTTTGATAAGCCTGAATGAATTGGTATTCATAGTGTGTCTGTCCTCTATTCTGGCTTATTTAATAGTCCTCCATTCTGAATTATTTAATGTTTTTGCTCAGGAGTTACACTGCTAACCTTGCTAGCAGAGAGCAGTGATTCTAGATTTTCTTGCCTGTGTCAACCCAAAAAACTGATCAGTCAAAAGAATAAAACTTCTTCATTCCTTCTCTCTTCCTACCCTCACATCCTTCTCCAATGAATCACTCTTAGTCTCTGCTTTTTGTTTGCTGCTAGTCTGAATTTGGTTAGTCCCTTCTTTCAGCCTAACATTTGCTCTGGCTCAAAGGGTAACTTTTTAAATGCAGTTTAATAAATGTGTCCCAGCCAGGGAGTGTTTCCAAGGATGTGTCTGCTTCTTTAGCAATGGGAGGAAGGATGTAAATTGCTGCATCATTCTGTAGCCTCTGCAGTAAAACCTTGGTGACTTTGCATTGCAGAAACATTTGGATCCGAGTCCCTCTGTGTAGGTACAGGAGGGCCTGTCTCTTCAGTCGTTTTGAGTGGGGAAAATGGAGCTAATTAAATTGTCAGTGGCAGAGTTTAGCAGTATAGCAAACTATATTCGCTTGAAAGTTAGAAATGTTTGAAAATAGCTAGGCACATATGTCACTTTATTTGTAGCTACATCATCTATAAATTACAGCTTGAAAGCTCATATGTTTTTGCAGAACWGTTAGAAGGAGGGAACCTCTAACAAGCTGTTTTAAAACCTTCGTGACACCGGCAAGATTTACAGAGGTTCAGATTTACCAACTGGAAAAGAGCAGAGTTTTTAGATAAATATTTGAGTGAACATCTATTTATTTTTAGCAATCATTACTGTGTGGAATATTTCACCTGAATTTTGTAAAACTGCTATAAAAGAGGTAGGGAAAATAATGATTAGTAACTTAAATAAATAAGGTAACTTTTACAAGATTTAAATAAACTTGAACCGTGCTTTATTTATAGGCCTGTATAAGCCTATATTTGGGGGACACTGTTCATATGAATCATGTCAAGCACAAATCCTGGGAACTTCAAAATGCAAACCTTAATGCAGGGCCTAGTTTAAGCTCTAGTGATTTATGGAAACCATAGSATCACAGGGTGGAATTGTTTGTTTATATAGCATTGGATTAAAATAATGTAGCTGTTTTGAAAGTCTCCCTATTTTTTGGAGCTTTTTGGTCAGCAGCATTATTGCAGTGAAGGTGGTAAGTGAACGTAATGGGAGCCCAAAYACCTTTTTACATTGTCAAAAAAAATGAAATTCTGCTAGTGACGGAGGGACTAATTGCTTATATGTAAAACATACACTGCTGTTTTGCTGCTTTAAAATGTAAGGAGTGAAACAAATGCTTCTCTGGAAGACCAGTGTGCATGGTAAGAGGCAACCAGTAAAATACCAGTAAGAGGCAACCAGTAAAATACCAGAATACCATGAGGTGTCAGCTCAGGAGGCTTCTGGAGCACAGGAAGTTCTGTCTCCAKGTGAGGAGGAACTTCTTCCCTGTGAGGGTGMCAGAGCCCTGGCACAGGCTGCCCAGGGAGGCTGTGGAGTCTCCTTCTCTGGAGGTCTCCAAACCCKCCTGGATGCCGCCCTGTGCCCCRTGCTCTGGGTGTSCCTGCTGGAGCAGRRRGGTTGGACTAGATGATCTCTGGAGGTCCCTTCCAACCTTGAATATTCTGTGATTCTGTGGCTTTGGGTGCTGGATTACATTGCAGATGGCTTAGCAGGCATTTGCAACCTATAGAAAGCCTCAAGTGCAGATGGGCCGCTAGTGCTTGGGATGTTGCTGGAAGGTTTAAAATTGTGTAAATACCTCTAGTTTCTGTCCTCTCTCCCTTCTAACCGGCGGTTCTGCCACAGGTGAAACATTTGAGCAGCGGCGCGTGGGGCACGAGGCGGGAGGGCGGCCACCGGTTGCACCGGTGCACCATGTGCCATGAACCGGTGCCAGTGGTGCCCGGGGAGGACGGAGGGGACAGCAGCCTGGGGACAGCGGCCTCGGTCACCTGCTGCTCCCTGCGCCGCAGTGGCCTCCGGCCTCGCTCCGGACACAGCCTCTTGGATTAACAGACCTCTCTCGCCCCTCTCTGACCACCCAAGATACGCCGTGATCGCCTTCGGGTGTGCCAGCTGCCCCAAGCTCACGTGCGGGCGAGAAGGCTGCGGCACCGAGTTCTGCTACCACTGCAAGCAGATCTGGCATCCGAACCAGACGTGCGATGCTGCCCGCCAGGAGAGAGCCCAGAGCCTGCGCCTGAGGACAATCCGCTCCTCCTCCATTAGCTACAGCCAGGAGTCCGGAGCAGCAGGTATTTATGATCCGCRTACAATGGCCGTACGCTGCCTTACTCCCACCTTTGCACAACTCCCTCTGGAAGGAGGGAACTGTTGCCGCCTCTTTGTGCCTCAGAGATGAGAAATGCACAGTGTTGGACTTGAATTCACATTCTCAAGTTCAAGACTTGGATCTCCAGTTTCTGTTGGTAATATTTGAAATTCTTGGTAACCAAAGCACCTGGATTCAATCTCGGAGGCTTTTTGGCCTTTTAAATTCCTGCTCTGTAGCTGAGACGTGAAGTGTAAAGAACGTGGTGCAGAGCACTTGGTGTTCAGCAGGCTGACTTCACTGCTCACTTGCACTGCTAACACCCTGGGCACGTTTGTTTCCTCTGCTGTAGGGGGTATTTCATAAGGTTAGGAGTAACAAATGCTGTCGTAAATAAAACGAAAAACCCACTGATTTTTCACTTTCAGGGAGGCTGTTGGTCTCTTTCCAGCTCTGATGCTCTGCGTCTGTGTTTGTTAGCTGTTCTTACGCAGAGGATGGCCCTCATTCACAGGGAGCTACCTGACTAATTCCTGTTTTTCAGTAAACTGCTTATGTCTGTTGACTAGCAGAGATCAAATGAGTTCAGCTTCTGAAAACTAAATTGTTTTGTAACCAAAAAAAAAAAAAAGGGTGAGTTATTCAGAGTAGTAGTTTGCAGAGCAAGAGTCCAGTTTGCTGTTGATAAGAACTGAATCTGAGTTTCAGCAAACTCAAATCTGTTTGCCAAATTTTGACTCTCTGACCAAACTAGGTAGATATTCAGATGAAAGTCCTTCTTGCACCCTGAGTTCAGTTACAGTTGTTAGTTCTTTAATCCAGCTCTATTATTGGGAGACTCTATTTCACTGTTTTGGTGTCTCATTTTTTTTTAAGGCACCACATCTTAACTTAAAAGTCGGCCTCTTGTCCAGGTGTTTAAATGCATTTTGAAATAAGTTCCCTAATGCTACATTGTCTTTTGCGGCACAAATAGCAGTACCCCTGCCCCATGCCTGCTGCAAAGAACCCTGTGAATAGCCCAGTTAGTGCCTCTCAAAATCACAGGGTGGTTGAGGTTGGAAGGGACCTCTAGGATCATMTAGTCCAGCCCCCTGCTCCAGCAGGGACACCCAGAGCACGGGGCACAGGGCGGCATCCAGGCGGGTTTGGAGACCTCCGGAGAAGGAGACTYCACAACCTGCCTGGGCAGCCTGTGCCAGGGCTCTGKCACCCYCACTGTCRAGAAATTTTTCCTTAAGTTCCTGGGGAACTTTTGGTGCTTCAGTTTGTGGCCGTTTGTTCTGCTAGTGACCACCACTGAAAAGAGGCCACCCSCTCCTCCTCACAGCCTCCCTTGAGGTATTTATCAGGTGCAACCTGATAGGGATCAGGACTGATCAGGTCCCCCCTCAGCCTCCTCTTCTCCAGGCTGAACAGGCTCTCTCAGCCTTTGCTCACAGGGCAGATGTTCCAGGCCCCTGATCATCCTCGYAGCCCTGCGCTGGACTCTCTCCAGCTGCTCCACATCCCTCTTGTCCTGGGGAGCCCAGAACTGGACACAGTCTCCAGACGTGGCCTCCCYAGGGCTGCGTAGAGGGGGATGATCCACTCGCTTGACCTGCTGGAGACGGTCTTGTTAATGGAGCCCAGGATCCCATTGGCCTTCCTGGCCACCAGGGCACACTGTTGCCTCATGGGCAACTTGTTGTCCACCAGGATGCTGAGGTCCTTCTCTGCGAGGCTGCTCTGCAGCAGGTCAGTCCCCAGCCTGTCCYGGTGTCYGAGGTTATTCCTGCCAAAGTGCAGGACCCTGCACTTGCCCTTGCTGAACTTCATGAGGTTTCTCCCTGCCCAGTTGTCCAGTCTGGCCAGGTCCCTCTGGATGAGGGTCCTGTCTATCCCTTCATCCAGGTCATTGATGAATAAATTGAACAGGACTGAACTGAGGACTGACCTCTGGGGGACACCRCTAACTACAGGCCTCCAACTGGACTCAGCGCCACTGATCACCACCTTCTGAGCTCTACAGAAGCTCTTCCTCACATAGAAATGGAACTTCCTGTGTTTCAGTTTGCACCCGTGACTGCTTGTCCTGTCACTGGCCACCCCTGAGAAGAGTTTGGCTCCACAGGCTGCACATCTCTCCTCTGGCAGCAGCCAACGTGCTGCTTCCATGACTCGCTGTCCCAGGGTGGCGGGACTCGTTCTGCCTGTTCCACACCTCCCTGATCCTCCTCGGAGCAGGTRTCTCTCCTACCTGGTAGCGCAAAGAGAGGAAAAGGGAGCAAAGAGCCTGTCAGCAGGAGCCCCTCTTCTGCACCAGCAGTTGCAGGTTGCATTTGCTGTTCCAAGTAAGCAGTTATCCCTAGTCCTGCTGAGCCTAGTCCTGCTGAGCCTGTCCCCTAGTCCTGAGTCTCACTTAGGAGCAAGGACTGGCTCCCCCATTCCCTTTTTCCTAGAATACCTCTTTTCCGAGGGAATGAGTGTTAAGTAAGGCTAGGAAGAGGAATCAAAAGGAGGCTGGTGATACCAGGGAAATTCATCTTATGTAGAAGGGGATGTGAATGTAAGATAGGAAGAAGCAATAACAGAGTGGGGACTGAATATTCTAGAACAAGATTCATAACAGCATGAAATGTAAAAGAGGATTCTATTTAAAGAGTGCTTTCAGTTCTGTATTAGCATACATATTTAATGCCTGGATCCTCAGTATATATTGCATTAGGCTTAGGAAATCCTTGAAGAGCATGTGTGCAGTTACTGGAACGCGATGCAGTGTGCCTTGGTTTGATTCATTCCGCTCAATATGAAGCACACGACTACAAATGGCTATCAAAGAATTCATTCCCAAATCGTGATCTGTTAAAGCAAACTTATTATAAAGCTTTTCCATCTTCCGGATACTCGGGAAAACTGATTGAAACGTTATCTGTATTTTGATTAAATCTACTCGCCTTAAGAACTGGTATGATCTGAATATTTGTTGTTTTAAACAGCTGATGATATAAAGCCATGCCCACGCTGTGCTGCTTATATAATAAAAATGAATGATGGGAGCTGCAATCATATGACTTGTGCTGTCTGTGGCTGTGAATTCTGTTGGCTGTGTATGAAAGAGATCTCAGATTTACATTATTTAAGGTATGTTAAGAAAAAATTCAATGTGATTGATAACTACTCTGAAGTGTGTAGAGGGTACTGTAAATTTCTTCTGCTTTCTACTGGAGTAGAGGATCAAAGCTGAAGCATCTGTATCTTAGAATTTGATTTTCCMTGCAAATATTTGAGTCAAACTTGAAATAAATTTATTTCAAGTTTTTCAAGTGTTTTGTGTGTGAAATTTGTACTTAACACAGTGAAATATTTTAGATTAGATGATGTCTTAATGTATTATATTCGTATTAAGCAACACAACAACTCTGATACCAAGTTACCTGTGAGCCAGAGTGGTGTGTGGCAGTAAACAAGAAGTTCCTTAGTATGTTTCATAATATGCCTAAAAACTTAAAAACAGAAAAAAAAAGCTAATTGGTGGTTTGGTCTTTGTAATGCATATATATATATCTTGAACCTTTCCAGGATCTGTAGTTCTGTACCTAGTGAATAGTTTGGTTCTGTACAATTATGTAAACTGATTTGCAATTTCTTTACAATTTTCTTACATCTTCTTTCTCTTAGCCCATCAGGTTGCACATTTTGGGGAAAGAAGCCGTGGAGCCGAAAGAAGAAAATACTGTGGCAGCTGGGAACACTTGTGGGAGCTCCTGTAGGAATTGCATTAATAGCTGGCATTGCGATTCCTGCTATGATTATTGGAATTCCTGTGTACGTGGGACGTAAGGTAAAACGTGCTGCAACTTCTGCTGTGCCTCAGGTTTTATTAGTGTGCAGGCTAATACTGTGTGTGTTCAGCTGACTGCTTTCACTCACCTTTTCCAAAAAATGAAGGGATCGTGTAGAAAACCTCTGTATGAGCTTTGTACAGAGTTTATCCGAATGTAGTTTCTCTTTTTGTACAGGTGAAACAACTTTGAAAAACAGATTTGTGTTTTAGCATATAAAAATGCATGCATTTTGAAAACTGCTTTGTTTTTAATCTCCGAGTTTCCCCCTGCTTTCCTTAGAATCAAATGTTCAGGGGAACGGGGAGGTCACAGGAAAATCCTTCTTATTTTTCTTAGAAGCAGATAGATGCCAGCAGTTGAATATAAAATTCTGTTCCCCTATCAAAAGGCTAGGGGTGTGTGCACCCATTTCGGTGCTGGAACTTGGCAGCTTTTGAGTTGCCTCTGGCCAGCCTGCCCCGTGGAGCTCAGCACAAGCATCTATTGTCATATTATTGTTGAATCATTGAACTGGCCAGAAATGACTGTGGTAGCAACAAGGCAGTTAATGCATTTTCTCTCAAGAAAGAAACTCCTGGCTGCTAGTATAAAGTAAATGCCAAATTGCAAGTTGGAATTACTTTTTTTCTCTCCTTTCTTACCCCTTTCAACTTCTATTTGTAATTCAAGAAAGAGTAGTGAATTATTTGCATCTTTTGGAAATGGACTTTTTGAACCTACGACTTGGTTCAGCGAGTGCTAAACTGAGTTGCACGTGCTGAAAAATTTACTCATAGGATGTGTTTATTCTTGCTTTTACCAACATGAATTTTCACAGTSACTGGTACAGGTTTCTACCTATAATTCTGCATCTTTGTGTCCTGGGTGGTTTTTTTGTCTGTCTCACAAGTTGCTGCTACTAGGCAGGATCTTCCAGCCTATCCTTTTTCAGCCTTTTCTTTCAAACAAGTGCTCTTACCTTTTGCTGTGGTGCCTTTTGTGACCCTCTCATTCTGGATTCTCATATTTCTGTGCAGCTATTGAATCCCTGTAGATAATAGGAGACAGGCAGCTGTTACCCAGATCGGTTACAGTGGCTGCTCTGCATTGCTGGGTAACTCTTGGACAGGTCCCAGTCCCTCCACATGTTAATGATGAAGTCCCACTGGGAGGCAACCTCAAGACAACTCCCATTTCACCCCACTGCTTCATGGCCAGTTTTCTGTTACTCTGGTCAGATATTTGAGCCTTTGTGCAGAACCTTTGGTTCACAGACCCTCCAAACCAAAGGCATCTGATCTTACTGACATTCAACATAAATTCTCTTCCTACACTATTTTTTCTTATCCTTAATTGATATCAAGATTACTGTTACTTACAATCTCTTGTTACATATTTGATGATCATTTCTCAGCTCACTTTAATTTTCATTTCTAGACAAATCTAGTGCTTTTTTTTTTCCCCCTTGGCAAACTGAGTTCTCATCGTGTCCATTCCCTCCTGGATTTCTTTGTAGGTCTTTTTACCTCCTTTGTGCARTTTGAATGCAATGGTGAAGCTGAAGCCCTACTGCTTACTATTGAGCTAGCTGGAAAAAAAATACCATTTTGTTGTTCAAACAGGAATCCTCCTCTGGTGACTAGCAGTCGTCTTCCTCTCAACTACATGCTATTGGATTGTGTGCACTGTAAATCCTATACAGTTTCCCACTGTACTTGCATGTAGGCAATTGGTCCCTTCCCAAGCGAATTCTTGCACTTGCTCTTAGTCATTTCAAGCCATTTCGTCAATTTGACACGACTAGGGTGAATTTAGGTTTTCTTGCAGCCTTGTCAAGGTTGATGTTATCCAGAAAACTTAACGCATCCCTTTTATCTTCCTCCCATCTACCAGATGAATGAAAATATTGGATATTTCTGGATCCACAGCAGGTCTCTTGGGGAAAAGTGTAGGGGGACAAGTGTTAACTTGGATRTATATATGGGTTGGGTATATATGACAGCTCTGGTATTTTCTGTCAGCTTTRTATTAAGCTAATAATAATTTTCTGAGCCATTTTTCAGTCCAAGCCACTATAGCTCTTTTGACACTCAAAGAAAATGTCAATTTTACTGAAGTCAGGATATGACATTTGCTGCTTCTTCCCACCCTCAAGGYCAGTTATCATGTCATAGAAGCAAACAAAATTGACATGATTTCTACATGAAAAAGCTATATGCCCTCATTTTTTTTCTACCTTTGTTATGGTCCCTGCAGGTACCTGGTTTTCAGGAAACTGGACTTAAGCTCATTGGTCTTTAATTCCCCCAGATCCTTGTTTTGCACCTCTGTAGAAATCATCATTGCAGCTTAACCTTGTCCAGTTTCCTTATTTTTCTTTTTTCCCCTCAGTTTACAAAAAAAAAAAAATGACCTTTTTCAATAGTTACTGTTAGTGGCTCTGAAATTGGGACTGCTGGTTTCACGTCAGCTCATTTGAGGGCTGTCTGACCTACAGTTTTCCTCAGATCTCACTATTTTACCACCGATATTAGTGCTGCCAATCACGAGCTCACACTTGATCTTTAGTGAAGACTGAGGGGAGGGAAAAAAAAGGCCTCCAGTTTCATCTCTGTCTTTGTCAAGCAGCAAATTTATCCATCTTGATCTTGCTCTTACAAAYAAGGTAGCTGTAAAGTAATTCCGTGGTAACTTTGACGTCTCTTGCTTTGTCTCCTCCCTGGTAACCTTTCTGGTTTTGTCCCGACACCCTCATGCTGTTCCTTTATGCCCACTCATAGTCATCTGCCCTACTTTAGTTTTCTTAATGTTGCTCCTTCTTCAGTAAAGGAAGCAGAGTTATCCTTTCACATCAGCCTTCCTGCTGCACGGGGAGAATCTGTGCTTGTGCTTTTGATAGTCTCCTTGAGGAACTGCTTGTTATCCTTACTTTTTCCTTTATATATATGGGTGGGTATAGATGGATAAATGTTTGTTTTCTGTTCCTTTCTTCCTCCGGGTTCTGAATTTTGTTATTTCGTGGTCATTCTTAGCTATGTGACTTCCCATTTCATGTTCTCAATTAAATTCTCCCTCAGAACCCATCCCTTACGTGAGGGATTTCCAGAGGGGTGGTGAAGGCTCCATCCGTAGAGATGGTCAAAGCCTGACAGGCCACAGTCCTGGGCAACCTGCTTTCTGGGCAGGGTTGGACCGGGTGGTTCCCAGAGGTGCCTTCCAACCCCACCTATTCTGGGATTCTGTGGGGGAGTTGCTTCCTTTTATGCTCAAAATAAACACTGTAGCCTTTCAAAATGCTGGCTGCATTTAAGTAATTTATTGCATTTGGGTAATATTGGCCCATAGTCAAATGCATTGCTCCCAACCATCCTCCTAGCTGCCCTGTAAAACCTCATCTGCCTGGGYTGGCGTGTTCTACACACACACTCATGTTCATTTTTTCCCTTTTAATCAGTAGCCAGAGGTTTTCTGTGCTCAGACTCCACATTCCTGTGCTCTCATGCCCTGGATGTTGGCATAGTCTGTCTCGGAGCACGCGGAGGTGCTCCTGTCACCTCAAGCACTGTCTTCTGCCTCTTTCCTCCCCTTTCTCCTGGCTAAACAAGTGAAAGGCTCTGTATTAGAGGATGAAAACCACCCTGCCAATTTGTTAACTGACATTATGACTTAGMAAGCTCAGTAAATCTCTTCATTGTTTGAGGGAGGTTGAGGGGAGGAAAGATTGGGGGGGRAAAAAGTGTCAATTTGTGTGTGATTATATAGGGCAATTCTTTTGTGGTGAAAATTGTCAAATTGTCAGCTCTGCCCGACTATATAAGCTGGAGCAATGATAATAAATAATTAAAGTGCAGTTTGAGCCTGAAAGTAAATGCTTAATTTCTGCATAAGAGGACTTCTAGCATTTAAGATTATTGCCTAACATGAAGAAAATTAAACATTTCCTTGTTCTTTCAGACAAGTTAAGGAATAAATTGTGATACAGAACGTAGTCCCTCTAGAAGAGAGTAGGATAYAGATTCTGAGCTATTAGATATGATTTCTTCCATCCCCACAGCAGCTTGAGTAATGAAAATATAACCTAAAAACTTCTTTTTTTTTCTCTCAAGATTCACAATCGATACGAAGGCAAAGACATTTCAAAGCACAAGCGCAACTTGGCAATAGCCGGCGGTGTCACCTTGTCTGTCATTGTTTCTCCAGTTGTAGCTGCAGTAACTGTAGGTAAGCAGATATTTTGTACATGGGTTGCCCTTTGAAAGCAGAGTTTTATAAGCACCCATAAATACAGCGTTGATTTGAGGCAGGTAGCACAGCTTCCTCTRACAGGTGAGTAAATGAAGCCRTAGAAAAGGCTTGAAGTGTTTGGGYTRGGGTTAACTATGATTGAGTTAAARTAAAGTCTTTGGGAAATGCTATGCTATAATGAATTAAAAATAATTTTTATCTGATCTGCAAATTGAAATCTGTGCATTATCTGACTGCGTAAGAAAAAGCTGATGCCACAGAATCTGCTCATACTTAAGTGATTTCATGTCAAACTTTGCTCAGCATAGTGGAAAAACAGCATCCTTTGCATTTAACGTTACAGTAATCGCTGCTCTTGTTATGCTCTGAGTTGATTTGCACTGTCACATTTTTCCTTGCTGGGATTTTTGAGAGTAACTTTGAGGAAGACATGGCTCTATGTTGCAAGTTATTAATCTTGTTGCCCCTTAGCTCCAGGGTCGCTGTAAAMCAGCCCTGATTTCTGAGAAGAGCAGCCTTGCATTGCGCTGTGCGGCTTCTGCTTCGCGCTGGTGTCCCTGTGGTGGGGGAAAACGTGGCCACGTTGAGACCCAGCACATTTGGGTTTGATCTGTGGATTGGTTTCCTGCTTTGGTTCCTCACACCGCTTCCCGTGACCCCTGGTGCCAGAGCTGATGCTCAGGCGGGAGGGAGCAGCCTTGGGAACCCTGGGCTGCTGCTTCGAGCAAGTGCTGGGTTAAGCTGGCCWTGAAGCCAAGACTTTAAACTGTGTTAACGGTGGAGGGTCTCTGCTTGTGCCCTGTGCCTGCATTGCTGTCTGCACAGCACTGTTCTCACAAACAGCTCCTGCTGCTGGGGCCACAGGCATCCCGTGGGTGTGTTCCTGCATCTAGAGGAATTCCCAGGAAAAGGGACTCTGTAACTGGAACTCTTCACGCAGATTTCACTGGGCAGCCTTTGCATTGGGTCTAGGTCTCTCCTGGCCTTTTTGGAGTGTGCCTGCTTGCCCTCTTTCAGCCTGCCTTATTTTCTGTGCTTTCCACAGACTTGCATCAGCAAMGCTTAATTCATCTGCCAGCAGAATAGCTTTTTTCGGTCCCTTACCAGCGGTGGAATAAGTGCAGTGCATATCTGTGTGCAGCTTAACCCAGCCTTTCACTGCTTCCCTTACCTCTCCTTTCATTCCTTGGATTTGAATCCATAAAAAAGGAATAATTACGGATGTTTCTTCCAAAAGGAAACAATGCAATACAATAAACATGGAAACACTACAGTAATAATCATGTTATGTCCTACTCATAACAAAGCCCTGTCTCACTGGAGTCRATACAATATCAAGCTCCTTATTAGAGGTTATAACGTTTTTGCTTGAATGACAATTGACATGGATCTGTCCTATTTCTCAGATAAAACATTATTAACAGCCCTCGATGGGGCTTATATGAACCTTTTAAATATCAAGATTTTCATTTTGTTTGTAAAAGACCTTAGAGACATACCAGAAGCATTAATTCACCCAGTATTCCACTTCTCCTGACAGTGCTGGTAGAGGAGCTTCTGCCTGCTGAAAGTATTTCCTTATTATTTCATCATAGTGACTTACCAATATTCCATAATTTCTTTCCCTTTTGATTTTTTTAACCTAAATATTTAATAGTGACGGCRTATAGCATGACTTCTGTAAAAGATCAAGAAAAAAAGGCATTATATTGAATGAGAGGGTTTGTGGTGCCTCCTGCAGGTATCGGTGTGCCCATTATGCTGGCGTACGTGTACGGGGTGGTGCCCATCTCGCTGTGCCGCAGYGGAGGCTGCGGCGTCTCGGCGGGCAACGGCAAGGGCGTCAGGATCGAGTTCGACGACGAAAACGATATAAACGTTGGGGGAACAAATGCGGCTGTGGGTAAGAAAATGCAGCGACTCATTTGCCATTAATCCGGGCTTTGTGCCCAGGTTTACTGTGCTGGTGTTCGTGCCTCCCAGAGGGYTGTTTCCAGAAGAGGCACTAGATGGTTAGTGCTACCTCTGCTCTCTTTGAAAGGCCCGTTCTCAGCTAAGGGCAGCTCTTCTCTGGGGTCATGCTGGGTTTTGTGCACTAGCAGTTCCTGCTCTTTTGGGCRCAGAGCAGGACCAGCCCAGTCCCATTGTGCGTTGAATTCCATGCTTGAATTCCTTTTCATGCTCAGAACACAAAAGGGGAGATAACAGTTTTCTTAATCTGAATTAAATGCAAATGTGTGACTTTGAGGCAATAAAACCCACTATGATATTGTGGCCCCGTGTGCTAGGCCRTGCCTCTGGAGTAATTCTTCAGCAGAGCGTTTCTCTGAGGCAGGTGCAGCACTTTAACTTCTTAGAAGGCCGTCTTAAAATCTGATGTGCCTGACTGCAGTCTACCTGTGCATCCTGCTGCCATTTCCCCTCCCTTCCAAAAGGCAGCAACRCAGTGCAGTGGATCCGCAGCCTAATCCTTTAGTTAGACAGACTTACGTAATGTCTTTTCCCTGGGTAAAAGTTGTAGGATAAAGGTAACACTTTTTTAGAATTCTGATCTATGGAAGCTGTTAGGTTTTTTTTCTTTAATCTCTGATAAGGAAGCTGAATCCTTTTAGCAGCTGACCAGGGGCTTTCCTTTAGTTACACAGCAGTTCTTGTAGCCACAGGATCGTGTGCCCCTTGACTCCACGCTACCTGTCCTGCATGCAGTGAACATTTCAGCAACTTAAGCCTGGGACCTCAGRCATAACCACCACCATAGCAGCTCCRGGGCAYGCTCCRTTTCTGAGCGCGTTGCCTCTCCGTCAGAGCCCGTTCTGCAGCTCCTCCGTGTCCTGTGGGAGGCCGTGCCCCGGGCCGCGTTCCGACAGGCGGGGCGCCCTCGGCCTGTCGCGACAGGCGGGGCGCCCTCGGCCTGTCGCGACAGGCGGGGCGCCCTCGGCCTGTCGCGACAGGCGGGGCGCCCTCGGCCTGTCGCGACAGGCCGTGCGTGACGGCGCGTCCCGCTCCCGCCCGCAGACACCACGTCGGTGGCGGAGGCGCGGCACAACCCCAGCATCGGCGAGGGCAGCGTCGGCGGCCTCACGGGCAGCCTGAGCGCCAGCGGGAGCCACATGGACAGGATAGGGGCCATCCGGGACAACCTGAGCGAAACGGCCAGCACCATGGCCCTGGCGGGCGCCAGCATAACGGGCAGCCTCTCAGGGAGCGCCATGGTCAACTGCTTCAACAGGTGAGGCTCCAGGAGGGGCATCAGCACCTCCAAATGAAGCCGGGGGGATGCCGCCCTTTCCTCGTGTCTTCTTTCTTCGTAATGCTTAAGTGGATTCTTACTAAACTAACCATCTCTGGGAGATAGAGATAGTTCCTCTGCAACGAGTTTATTCCAAAAAATCCTGCTGCAACACAATCCTCAGAGGAGAAACTACCGTTGTCTTCAAGGGCTGAGGGCTTGACGCCCGCTTTGYAGGAGAGCAGCTTCTCTGGAACCAGGCACGCACCTCGTGTCTAATGCAGCCATGTTCACAGATGAAATTTTGTTTTAAATTAATTTCTGCTTTATCTGCTCAGCCCAAGCTTAAGAGTGGGTTTCTGTTATTCCCGTTGCAGTTGCTAGGTACTGAACAGTTATGTGCTTTTTATTTAATTAGTAGTAATTGTGCAGCAGGAGAGACAGAGAGGACGCTATAAAAGCCTTCCCTGGTGTATCCTTCTGAGGGTGATTGCCATTTTCACAGCACAGGATGTTACCTTCAAAAGAGCTGTAGCTGAGCCTGGAGGCCTTGCTCCCAAATCTCAGGGCAGAGAGTATCTGCAGCTTCTTGTTGACATGCAATGTTTTGCTTTGTTGGGAAGTTTACTGTTTTGCCTCTCTTGATTAGAAAATAGACAGTTTTTGGCACTAGCCCCTTTCAGTAGGGAAGAAATAGTCATGTCTGGAGTAACTAATGAACTGTACTTAACACAGAAGAGTGGAAAAACTATGGGTAATCCTAACTCTTAATTAGGGTGCTGACTGTTGTGGTGGCAGTTTATTTATTTGTTTTTTATGACTTTCCCAAGACTGGAGGTCCAAGCAGACGTGCAGAAGGAACGATACAGCCTGAGCGGCGAGTCCGGCACGGTTAGCTTGGGGACGGTTAGCGACAACGCCAGTACCAAAGCAATGGCAGGATCCATCCTGAACTCCTATATCCCTTTGGATAGGTAAGAGAAACATGGTTAAAGCTGGATTAATAAGCCTGGCTTATTTAGGGATTTTTAAGCATGACTCAGCTAGCCTACCACTTACCCTTCGAAATTACAAGTTTTGCTCCATACYGAAGTGCTTTGTTTAACAGCAGTGATCAAGTAAGGATATCCTTCCAAAAGGGAACATGATTGTTGTACTCAAAAGCAGCTGACGTTTTTCCTTTTTCTCTCTGGGATTTTTCTTTTTTGGTGAGTGAGTTAAGTACGTCCTGCAGCTTTTCCTAAAACAAGCCACATCTCTTAACTTCTGCTGCATATTTGGAAAGCAGCAAGGGTTGTTTGACTATATTGGCTGGCCTCTCCATAAGATGACTGCTTACGCTCACAGAGTCTTTCTCCTTCTAGGGAAGGCAACAGCATGGAAGTGCAAGTGGATATTGAATCGAAGCCAGCCAAATTCAGACACAACAGCGGAAGCAGCAGCGTCGATGACGGCAGCGCGGCGGGTCGGGGTAACGCCGGCTCCTCGGCAGCCTGCCTGCCAGACAGCAAATCGAGTGCCACCAAGTGGTCCAAAGAAACAACGGCTGGGAAAAAATGCAAGGGTAAACTGAGAAAGAAAAGCAGCATGAAGATAAACGAGACCCGAGAGGACATGGACGCCCAGCTGCTGGAGCAGCAAAGCACAAACTCGAGCGAGTTCGACTCGCCCTCTCTCAGCGACAGCGTCCCGTCCGTAGCAGATTCGCACTCGAGYCACTTCTCCGAGTTGAGCTGCTCGGATCTGGAAAGCATGAAAACCTCCTGCAGCCACGGCTCCAGCGACTACCACAGCCGCTTCGCCGCCGTCAGCGTCCTGCCGGAGGTGGAAAACGACCGCCTGGAAAACTCGCCCCTGCAGAGCGGCGCTGCCGCCCTCGCCGAGGCGCCGCCGCTGGGCTACATCGCCGAGGAGGGCGGCAGCGGCRGCTCGCCCGCACACGGCGGGGTAGGTGGCCCCGAGACACCCAAGGAAACAAACAATAACCATTCGGCACACGCCGGGGAGCTGAGCACTGCAATCCAGACTGAAATCTAAGCCTCGACGTGCTGCAGAAACCCTGACCACTGAAGAACCCTGTCTGAAAGCTGCTTGGGTTACGTGCGGCTCTGTAAGGTTCAGGTGACCGGCAGAGCAAGGTTTTGATACAGCTGTGTTTTATATGTACCTGCCCAATAAGGGAGAATACTTCACGTGGGTGTAACAGACCTATGTGAAGGGACATGAAGGCTTTAACAAGTGCATTACAACCGTACAAATAAGTCCATGTTTTGTATTTTTGCCACAACTTTGCTTGAAAGCATATACTTGGTGTATTTAGATAAGATTGGCTAATATGTTACATGCTAAAAGGAATAGTATTTCCTGCACTGTTCACTTGACAAATACGGGGTGTGGGATAAATGGGGGTTAGCTGAGTTAGTAACTTAAAACCAAYCTGGGATGAACCTTAGCTATGGGAGGCGAGTTTTGCAGAGGCCCGTGCCACGGAGCCTCAGCAGTGACTGCTTGCARTGATCACTGTGGTTCCTGGCGGGAATCACTGCAGTGATCACTGCGATTCCYGGGGGAAGGAAGGGCCTGTCCCCAGGCGGACGTCACGCCGTGTGTGGGCACTTCGAGCAAGGTTATGGCATTTTGCATCCCTCAGGAGGAGGAGCAATTGGTACTCGATAAGCGGCAGAAAGGAGACGTCACCTATGAAGAACAGTGGGGTTACTTATTTATTCAAGCAACCGACCGTGCAGCAGATAAGGCTACTATGTATTGTATAAAACCTGTAAAGAATCCATTGATTTATAAGCATTGTAGAGAATAAGTTGCAATCACCTTTGGGGGTGGGAGGGAGGGGGAAAATGGTGCCCCAACAATTCTTGGTGCCTTTGGAAAAGACTGGGTTTTAAGTGCCTGGTCGTTTGAGGATTTTACTGTAATGCTCTCCAGAATGTCCTCTTTGGCCACCTCGGATCACAAAAGCAAATTCTAGTGAATAAAATGACTGTGGTAGATAAACGTATAATAATAAAGAAGTATTAGCCTACCAAAGACTCACTCAGGCTTTCGTGGATGACTTTCCTACGACATCTCTTTGCGAGACGTGCATATCTTCAATCCCTGAAGCAAAGTGCAGTGCAACGATTGCACCAATGCAAAGGTGGGTTCCAAATATGCTGGCTTTTTTTGTTCTTTTTTTGCATATGGAAGATGTACAGCTGAGCACAAGCTGGATCCGGCCAGAGCGCCTGCACTGTTGATGTGTTTTTGGTTTTTTTTTTTTTTTTTTGGCTAGGTAATTCACTAAAATGGGAAAAAAAAACAAATTGTGAATCTCAGAATAACGGTTAACAATGTTCTGTCTTGTGTTTCTTGTAAGTATTGCCTTTATGGTGCTACTGGAAGTTTGGTTGGGTAAAAAGAAAATGCCATGAGCTGCAGTCCTCTTCCATGACTTATCCTCACGGTTTCATGAATATGCTTATAACACTAGTGCCAGTTACATTATTTGATAATGCTTGTTATAGTATTTGTATATTTGCAATTCAGTTTTGCTCAATAATATGCGTGTAAACTGCATATCTGAAATAAATGTCCAAATACTGACGTGCAGGTGTCCTGCCTCGGCGTGCCGGGCGCCCTCAGGCCCCGCGTGGCCATCCCGTCAGAGAGGCGCTGCCACTGTGCTGGGGAAGCTGGAAGCTCTGGGAATCAGAGGTATAGATCCCAACAGGAGTTGCAGTTTTGACTTGGACACAATCACAGGATGGCTGAGGTTGGAAGGGACTTCCAGAGATCATCCAGTCCAACCCCCTGCTCCAGCAGGGACACCCAGAGCACGGGGCACAGGGYGGCATCCAGGCGGGTTTGGAGACCTCCAGAGAAGGAGACTCCACAGCCTCCCTGGGCAGCCTGTGCCAGGGCTCTGGCACCCTCACCTTTGGTAATTTAAAGCGTAGATCCYAGCACTAGCTGCATTTTTGTCCAAGACTTCGACGTGATTTCTTTTCATCTTATGCAGTAGCAGTCTCTGGAGCGGGCAGGATGGTAAATGGTTTCCAGGGAGCAGGTAGCCCTCATGTACATGTATTAATCTGTGTGAAAATTGCACCTCGTACAAGTGCAGTGATGGTCTCACTGCCCAGCTAGACTGCAGCTCCATTTACCTGAAGCTCCATGGGCTGCAGGACTTGCCTTCCGAAATGCTGCCAATTGACCACAGTTTCCATTCTGGCTAAACAGCCGGTGTTTATTTGCTTGGCTGAGCTGCCTGCTCATTAGGCTTGTTTTCTTACCTTYATTTTGACAGTAGGAAACCAAAATTCATTGGAATGCAGGACGGAAGCGCTACCTGCATCTGCCTCGTTCCTGACCCAGGCACGAGCTGTGTTTTGATCAGAGTGAACTGCAAGAAAACTGCTGTGCCAGCAGGTCACTTCTAAAGCCACAGTTATCAGAGCGTTCCTCTGCACTTTCCAATGCTCAAGGAAAGAATAAGAAATGGGATGAGAGAAGCACATAGTGTGCACTAGAAATAACTGCAAGGCATAAAGGCAGTCTTTGCCATGACATCTGGCAGTCTGAATCGGAAGCAAATATAAATTTTGTGTTTCATAGGTCAGATTAGAGTGTTAACAGCTCCTTGCTTATGCTCTGTTCCTGATGGTTTTTTTTCCCTTTTTATCTGACAAAGTGTGAATGATAATATATTGTTACTGAAGAGCAAATGCATTGAGTTAATACCAGTATTAATGTAAGCACTTGCTGTCGCTCCCGTTGGCAGATGAGTTTTGGAAGGTCCCCATGTGGGAAGCCTGTGTAGAAGTCTCAGGTGCAGCAGGGAACTCGAGGGCAAAACCTGTGGTGCAGGCAGGGCTGGGGAGGCACTTSGGCTTCGTGCAGTCTCACATGACCACCCATCTTGAGCCAAAAATTACTTTTTTCCCCTCTTTTGTCATAAAGTGGACCTCTACTTCGTTGGTGTCTGTTCCCTCAGCTTAGTTCTTCATCTGATGTCTCACATGGCAGCTGGTGCTGTGTCCAGCTCGGGTGGTGTGTGAGCTGGCTTTACCCAGGGCCCTCGTGCAGCAGCTGCAGCACCTTCGTTTGCAGCAATGCAACCTAAAGCTTCAGTGGTGAAGCGGGAGGAGAAATTCCTTCCTTTGCATGTTTAAACCCATCTCTTCATCTCTTGGTACCTCCGTTTTTCTATGCAAGGAAATTATATAATATAAAATGATAGTGTAAAAGTAGTGTCAGTTTGAAATCACCTTTAATAATCTCATGTATTTAAAGGTAATGRATAGTGTGGGTTGTTGTTAAGGAAAAGGCTTGTTGTACTAATTCATTTGCAACTTCTCTAACTCCTGGTGGTATGATGGCGCGCTGTCTGKGCACCATCTGCTAGAAGCGATCAGTATGAAATCACAGAACCTTTCAGGTTGGAAGGGACCTCTAGAGATCACCTAGTCCAACCCCCACGGGGGGGGCACAGGGCGACATCCARGCGGGTTTTAAAGATCTCCAGAGAAGGAGACTCCACAGCCTCCCTGGGCAGCCTGTGCCAGGGCTCTGGCACCCTCACTGTCAAGAAATTTTTTCATGAAGTTCCTGTGGAACTTTTGGTGCCTCAGTTTGTGGCCGTTTAGTCCTGTCGCTGGCCACCACTGAAAAGAGGCCGCCCCCCCCTCCTCACTGCCTCCCTTGAGGTATTTATAGACACTGATCAGGTCCCCCCTCAGCCTTCTCTTCTCCAGGCTGAACAGGCCCAGCTCYCTCAGCCTTTGCTCATAGGGCAGATGTTCCAGGCCCCTGATCATCCTSGTAGCCCTGCGCTGGACTCTCTCCAGCAGCTCCACATCCCTCTTGTCCWGGGGAGCCCAGAACTGCACACAGTCTCCAGACGTGGCCTCACCAGGGCTGAGTAGAGGGGGACGATCACCTCCCTGGACCTGCTGGAGATGCTCTTGTTAATGSAGCCCAGGATCCCGTTGGCCTTCTTGGCCAYCAGGGCACTGCTCTCTCATGGTCATCTTGTTGCCCAGGTCCCTCTCTGTGGGGCTGCTTTCCATCAGGTCAGTCCCCAGCCTGTCCAGGTGTCCGGGGTTATTCCTGTCAAAGTGCAGGACCCTGCACTTGCCCTTGTTGAACTTCATGAGGTTTCTCCCCACCCAGTTGTCCAGTCTGGCCAGTTTGGAATTTGATATCAAGTCTGTTAAAYATGGTAAAAGCTGCAGCGCCTCCACTGATACAGTGATATAGAAGATACCTGTATCTTATCTGCACTATTGCCAGCATAAATAAGAACTTTGTTGTCCTAAGTGAAACATTTAGAGAAACAAACCACAGGAAAGGCTGAGTTTCCTGACACTTCTGCTGTCCTGGCATTATAGTTCCTTTTTGGAAATTTTCACTACAGTTTCTGGCCAATTTGACTAATTTACACCAGATTACAGATCTTGAGTGAAGCATCTGCTCTTATCAGAGAATCATTGAGATAGTTCGGGAAAATATTAGACTGAACAGGACTTTATCATTTAGTGCTTGTAATTCTAAAAATAACAAAGTTATCTTGCTATGGAAGTACTCTGGCAGTGCTTATTTCCATAATGCTATTTCCAGATTTTTTTTCCAAAGAATTTCATCTTTTAAAAAGAGRAAAGCTGCTATAAATGTCTGCCCAATTTGCATATGCTTTTTTATTAAGAAGAAAATTAAAAGAAACAGTCCAGACTTGCCCCTTGTTTCCTGCCATTGAGCTGCGTGGCAGCCCAGCGTGTCTGAGCAGGTGTATTTTAGTGAGGTGTAAGTTCTGGTTGCTGCAGCCGTGCGGACCCGGCGCAGAGCGCAGGCTCCCTCCCCTGCCCTGCCCTCGTAATTCCAGGGATGTGCAAGATGCCGAAGGACAGGAGGTGCCGGGAATGTGCCCGGAAAGCCGAGGAAACGCGGCCGCTTGGCAGATAAACTTCCACGTTGCCCTTCAGCCAGCGGCAACGTCGCGTTGCTGCAAACGGTGGGAACCTTCCTGGCTGCCTCCRCATCCGTGGAGGACGCAAGTGGAGCTGATAGCGGCTCTGCTGTAACACACACCGTGTGGGCAGAGYTTATTGCGTGCTCCAAAGGAAGAGTTTGGCAAGTACCAACCAGATTGTGTACAGGATTGCACAGCTGCGTTTCCATGTAAGATTTTGAAAACTGCCATAAAGAAACTGTAGAGAAAGCGGGGCAGCCTCTGCTCTGCTCTGTGAGGGCATGAAGGCACCTTGTGAATAGGCAGTTCCCAAAGGTGCTGCGACAAGCCCTGAGCAGGACACGTTGGTCCCCCTGTTACATGAACCGGAGTTCAGTGCCCAGGAGCCCCTTCTTTGGGCTGTGGTTGGAACTTGGCTAAACGAGCTGGGTGGGCAGGGATCTCACCCCCATGTCCTCAGGAGGGACATGGGAGTCACTGTGGAAGGGCCTCTTGGAGCAGCCGCCGCCTCCTTTTCTCCCAGCTGAAAGTTCTGCTGGCCTGCAGACCTCGCTCTTGCTAAAATTATAATGTGCCACTGTTTCTGAAAGAACTATGTTGAAATGCAGCTTCTTTAAAGTGCCCTTGAGTACTTGGGGCAGTGACAGTCATTTTTGTTGTCAAGAATTTTATAGAATTCACAGAATTCACAGAATATTTAAGGTTGGAAGGGACCTCTA